AATTGAACAATTAGTCTGAACTTATGGCTATAGTAATCAGGTTAATTACTTTGCAATATAGGGGTCTCACAAAAAAGCACTACAATGACGTTCAGCCGCTACAGTGACAATCGGAGATGACCTAGTGTTCTGCAACTTCCCTTCCAATGCAGAGGCGGAGGAGAATCGCTGTTCAGTGGACATCCCCTTGACAAAGTACTGAATTAAGCCGAAGTATTATTCTTAATGATATAAATGTGCTTCAAAAATATATTTTTGGTGTGAATCAATTTTTAATACTATTGAGCACAATTATCCTGGGCTAGTATAATTCTGTATAGATTAATTATCTTCTAAACGAAACAACTCTCTCATGAGTACATTAGTCGCCTGCAAAGGGGAGGCGACGTCACAGAACAGTTTCTCGAATACATTAGAATATTGAGCTTTTGACTTGGTACTCTGGGATTCACGAAACCCTCTCTTCAGTTAAACAAGCTACCTAAGATACAATAATTTGGAAAGCCAAACCAATTTTACCAATGATCATCAACACTGTCTTTATAATGGATCCTACGGGGATAATAGAGCAGTTCTATTTATAACTGAATGTTGCCGCGGTGGCTGTCGGCGCGACCAAAATACGTTGTCAGAAGTATATAACAGCCCAGGCCTGATACAGGTTTGGAATTTTTTTTGTCTCTGATGTTAATAAGAATATTAATAACGAAACCTATCATCGAGTTACCATTTTATGCAGGCCCAAGGTAATCTCTCTTATCGACACGTAGGACCTGACTCCCACCGTAGGGGAGTCACTAGCACTATTTTCAGATATTCTCACAACCCCCAATCATTACACGAGCCTACTTTTTCATTCATTTGATATTAGAGCTACACACTATGAGCAGTAATCGCTACTGAATACTCTGTTTTATAAATGATTCAACATTTAGTCGCAGAGAGGCAAATGTCCGGAGCAACCACAAAGACCCACAGCACATTGATTTCCACAACTCCGGAAGCGAAAACAACTCGCCACATATTCTCTCGGGCAGAACGTAGACGCTTAGTAATGCAACCGACACCGACAAAGTCCCCCTAGAATATCATGACGCTGGCGCACCCGCTCCTCGCAGAACGGTGGAACGAACCTAGGACACACTGTAGCAGTCCGGCTTCCCTGCGCCTAGGCCACCCGACGGCCTCCGATTCCGCACCGCTCCACGTTCAAATCTGGCCCGGATGGAAAATGTTTTACCCAGAACGAGTTCTAAATTCCCCCCGGTCTCTATGGAAACTGCGCGCCCTAGCACTAGCGAGAGAATTCTCTCTACACTAACACTCCACTAATGCACAAATACACGTATAAACTATCATGTTTCACCACGTGCCTTCCCGCGGTGCAAGATCAGGCCAGGGGACCCTGGCACTGCCTCCGACCTCCGCCCGGGAGTGCCTTTTCTCAATTATGGATGTTGGTGTTAGGAACGTTGGAAAGTCCGGCGAAGCCTTCCCGGGCGCCCCCCCCACGCCGCCCGCTGACGTCACGCCGAGGTGGCGCGAGAATATATAATAATCCCACCGCTCGTGAAGCGGCGCCCGACAACGTGAGCAATAAAGCGATGATTATAAAGCGAACATACAAGAATAGATACCGCGGAGGGGCGGACGTTAACACAAGGACCCTGCGACGTGGAGGGATCGGTCAGGTGGGTAATCTTGAGTCAGGGGCCGCATCTCTGAGCGTTATGTTACTCTGCGAAGGTCAGTTGGAGTACCGATGACGAAAGTTCGATAGTGGGAGCCATTAATGAAATATCGAAAGTGCAGTCTCGTTCGCAGTGGACTACACTATATAAACCAATTCATCAAATAATCATGATACACATAAAATGCACCTGGTTTTCTTCAGCTGAAGAGTAATTTTTACTCTCATGAATCATAGAGTATCCTCGGACACAAGGGATCCACCAACTACCAATCTAAGTAACCGTGGCGGATTGTAGCGGTATTACGCGCTCCAAAACAATACTTAAGTGCTCACAAAAAAAATAAATCACTGATGAGTGGGCGCATGTCAACATTTAACTGAGTAATATTTCTAAGATACCAAATAATGCTAGAAAACGGATACCATTAATTCCACCTAGATTAGGTCTTTCTTAAGTTACATGAAGCAGGACTAGTAATGTTTAAAAATTCATCTCGATGCGAAAAAAATAATTATGCACATATAGTTGATAGTCTGCGCCAGCTATGGGACACCCAGTACTGCGGAAAAGGTCTAAATTCACTCATTGTTCTCCCGACTGTGTTGAGCTACGAGAAGTGCGACTCCGTTGTATATGTGAATTGACCGTGTGTAGTAGTAAGGATGAAATAAGCAAGAAGAGAGGAAAGATCGCGCCGTGTTTCGTGGCCAGTGATGTTAGGGACCTGCTCCGCGTCCAGGTTCGCGCCTAGTGTATCAATGCGAACCAAGTACAGACACAGGAAACTATCACTCAGAGCAGCTCGACCCGCTAGAATTTTCGGCTCCGGTCGGGGGATCTGAATTATCGGACATGGTGACAGTTAGGAGTTTATGAGAGTAAACAATTTCCCAAATGATTCGCGACCAGCATAAGTCACAATACCATCGCAGCCGCCTCTCCGTACCGCGACTGATCGTGACTGGACCAGTAACCCGACCAGAGTCACTGACCAGTGACACATGGAGAATCTGTCCTTGATCTTACACCGTACATCAGCGGTGGCAACTGAGGTTGAATCAACATACGAAATTACACGAGATTCACTCAAGAACATTTTTCTCACGCATAGGATGGCACAAGACATCACCATGCATACGGCTACTAAACTACGCAGCTATTGACAGATTTGTCAATAGGTGTAGCATTGTGCACAAAGAGCAACTCTACCTGAACGAAAAACATTGCATATGAGAGTTGCCCACAAATTACGGGGCAAATCTTCACGGATGATTGAAAAGCGTAGTAACATATTCGTAACATTTTATCTGAAAACCCTCCTGACAGGAATATAATGTAATGATATTAAAACCATAAGTATGGAAAATGTTCTTTTTCTTAAACGCTCGCCAAACTTCGCAATATACGAGGTTGAGGCGTACAGTTCTAATGACAAGTTTTTTTTTTTTGTTTTTTTTTTTGCAAGAGATTCACGAAGCACAGTGGAAAACCATAGAAATGATAGCACCGAGCATAGATGAACATAGGGAAGCTATAAACGATTAATTATCATGCACAAACACTTGTGGGAAAATCACCCACTATTCGCATTGTGTAGAACTAAACCATATGATACGTAGCAGATATAAAGAATAGGGACAGGGGTGCAAAGAACAATACAAAGACAACCAGTCCTAGGCGGCACTCGTAACTCCGCCGATCCTTCGTTCGCGATCGCGACGTCACTTACTCGCCTTACTGATCTCAGAACCATCGGTCCCGGCCAACAAATCTTTTATTTTTTCAAACATTTCATTAATATTTTTGAAATGACAGGGTGGCTCATTTCCAAAGTATTTTAGCATCTACAAATTCATCAACATTCCAAAAGCGTTATAATAGTACCCATTTTAAAGCCCATTAGAGATTGCTGCAGACATCGAACACCATACTCTCACCCATGCCGACCTACGTGCGTCCGGATGCATCACACGGAGCTACTGTCTATGCGTCCTCCTAACCAAAATCTTCTTTACTCCCCTGCCTAATCGCGCGACTATGCGTATGAACAAAGCGCCTATGAAAAACATCCAAAGAACATTGACGCGAGGTGTTTAACCCAAGGATACATATGATTTCTCGGCATTAATCTTCCCACGTGCTGACTAGACGGCATTCATCATCATTGCTGGGAATGAAAGGAAGGTACTCAGAAACGGCTTTTTGAAAATATCCTGCATTTAATCTCCTCGTTGTCTCCTACATACGTCAGACAACTCAATATCATATTACTGTCTTTTGTTGTATAATATCTGATTACTATACACTCACGCGTACAAATAAAAATGAGTGATTAGTGGTTAAAATTTCTTTTTTAGAAATATACTAATAGTTGTTCCATGACATATTGCATTCCTCATAATTGCAACCTTCATCCCGTCTCATTGTTGAAAGCACCAAATTTTGTTTTTTTGCTGGGAATGAATGCCTATGGATAGAAAAAAGTATTTGAATAAATAAATCTTGCTCTACATTCTCTAAATCTAATGCCATAGCCTTGGTGCCGCATTAGATTCATCATTTGTTATGTTGATCTGAGTATAAAAGTAACTAAAAAAACAGCTACTATATGCAATAATTAACGAAAATAACTAATAAATAATAAAATTAATTAATAAATAAATAGATAAATAATAAGATATACATCGTCGAGTAATTTGATACTAGTTCCTTGTAATCCCGAGATTTTAACCCGAATTCATTTGTCCTAGGTGCCTTTTTTGAATAAGTAATACGTATGTTAGACGGTGAGAGACGCCTACTATCTCTGGTAGATTTCGGAGTTTCCAGAGTCTACTGCTAGTAGCCGAGTCTGAAGAACAATTGAACGGAAAAAACCCCCGAGCCCCAGAGTGCCCCGAGTCACCAAACTGCCCTGTTCCCTCGTGAATATACGGCTTCTCGTTGTGCGCGCTCGATTTCCGCATGTAACAAGTCACTGTCATTCTGTCCCATAGGTTTTGCTAAATCGTATTTCGCCGTGCTTTCTATGATCGGTTTGCTGTTCGAGTTTCTCGCTTCCACGTCTGTATCTGCCCGATATGCTGATGGTTTCCTCCAGCATCGTCGTATTGTAGCAGCCTGTCTCGGTGAGCAGTTGATCGCATAACATGCCCCGTCTCACCGGTGGCAGAGCTCTCTGTAGATAAAGCAGCTCCATGTGCTTCTCGTCCACTCTACAAGCGACCCAGAATTCAATGGCAGTTCCCGGCCACGTTTTGGAGCCCAGATGCAACCCCAAAGAACTAAACTATTTATTCTGAATAGACGCCTCCAGAGGATGTGCCTCCTGTGAGCAGAGGTCAAGGGGAGAACCGTACGAGCGATATTGCCAGACCTTCCCCCGGTCAGCCTGGGTCAAGGGCCAGTGGGCTCATGCAAGTTCGCACGGCAAAAGCGAGGCCCGGGTGAACGCTAAGCAGTGTCGCCCTCCCACAGCTTCGAACAAAACATCATCAGGATTTCTCGAAACGAATAAGAGGCCGAGATAGAAGTGTAATTTCTTGTATATGACCTCAGGAATTTCCTAGGTGAACATTTAAACTACTATTCTATACGTGAAACCTCGACAAATTTCAATGACTAGCAGTAGATTATATTTCATACAAGTGCGGAACTAGCGCCACATACCAAGGTCATTTTTATGTTAATCTGACAAGCGTATTGTGAGTTGACCGTATCCGACCAACTACCATCGAAGATTCATATACGAAATCTATTGCAGTGATGTCTATCAACTAATACTCGTTTGATTAATTTACACAGTGGGTATAATCCCGTGACTCTTAGTTCCACAAACTCATAAGTTTGAATTACATTATCGAGCAACAGTAGTAGCTGAAAGTTTTACCTCATTAGATAATTTATGCTATGGTATTCTGTGTGTATTTAATTCTTTTATTTACGTGTATCTCTTGCGCATGCCTAAAGTTAATCATAATAGCAAAGATTGAGATCGTACTCTTGACGGTGAGTATAAACATTATCATCGCAGACGAGCCGGGATACTCCATACATCTATTCAACAATACGGCAAAGTCTAACTTTCCTTTTTATCCTCCTAGTCCTCCTCTCCATGCTCAAGAATACGCAACTCGAGTTACCTCAGCCACAATGTGACCGTGCTCACGTCGTGGACCGACCCACCCCCAGGTATGCAGTAGCTGCCTTTCCCCGCGATGACCTCATCAGCCTATATTTACTGGACGTCTCTGCAGTCGCCCGATAACAAGCCCATTCAAGAATTCATTGTTTCCACGCGAGATTTAGTCCCTGAGTAGTGTAGATGAATCCAGTTCTTCTGGGCGCGTATCCAACTTCCGCCCAATTGAGGCGTTAAGCCATCCCAACTTGGGACATCAAGACTCAAATGCCTTAGAGCCGTGAGCAACTAAGAGAAACGTTTCATCCGCCATCGACCCATACCTCCCTTCGTCTCTAAGTGAATCTGCTATCTTTCCTCACCTGCATTCAAACACAGCAGTCTCCGACCAACATTTTTCGGCCCACTTTATTTCCTCAAATTAGCAACTTTTGCAAAAGATCTTCATGTGATTCAGAGGAGACCTGGGTGTAAATTCTGTGTGTATCAGTTTTCTGTCCTTCCTCACATCGCGTCCGACGAACTACTTAAAAAAAACCAGACTCTCCCGTAGGAGAGGCTCTGCAAGGCTGGATAGACGACATATTGATTCCAGAAAAGGATGAGATGTGAAGCCTACAAATTTGATACATCACGGACCTCCATCTACTATCCACAATATCCTAAGCAACAACAAACTACTTTAAACCCTACTACTTCTTGACAATAGACAATGAATTGATAACTCTTAGATCTTTCATTAATAGTACATAAAGTAATTCGATGAAGAGAACTGGTCATATTTTAATTCTACTCCAAGCAAAAAACAAACTACTCTGAAGTCAAACAGTTTCAAGCTGCAATTCTGTTGTTTCGAAATGCTAACAATTTGTCAATTTTATGCTCGCAACTATTGATTGAATTCTCACGAAATAAGAAGTATAGATCTCTATTTATTACCACTTCATTTGATTGCACATTCATTTAATAGATGTAATAATTTCTCCTATCAAAGAAAGAACTTTGGAACTATTACTGAGAAAAAATCGATTTGGTATGAAAAATGATTAAACTTTTTAAACAAATTGTGTTAAAATGTGTGAAAAAATTGCCTTATATTTCAATACCCCAGTAATAACGTATCGGCGCGAATATAAACTAGGCTCATAATCTTCAAGTACAAGAGTTTTAACTTGACTCTCCTATCATTGATAGCAGATTCTGCAACGATAAAGATGAAACCATTTAATTAATAGCCAAAAAAATAAGAAAATACAATGTTATATCTTCAGGCGAGCTACTGTAGTTGACTGAATGGTCATGGATACCCACGGGAGAAAGTTGCAATAATTTTGCCATAATCGGTAATCAAAGAAAAAGGCTCTCGACCGAAAATAGGACTACATGCTCCAACCATGTCGTGCGTTACATAATCCAAGTACTTAGTATCCTGAATCCAACAAGTCACCAATCTTCTTTGCGATGCTATGTTGAAAGCATAAGAAAACATTTATAAATACAGCAGATTATGGAGTACCCCCAATATTGAATTAACTCTAATAGGGAGGCTTCGATATGCAGTGGTTCCAAAAGTGTGTGGGATTCTTGGAATAAGGGAAATAAAAAACAATAACCGACTACATCCGGCAGATCAGACATGTGAAACACCAACTCAGTACAATGGATGAGCGCAGGTCATGTCTGCATCCACCAACGCGCAACTTGACCAATACATACAGTACAATCTTGCTCTTCTGAGTTCTCTTTCATACTAGACTAACTTCATTATCCGTACAGTTCTCGTGGCTGTGCAAACCCCTCTTAGCCTCGTGACCGTTATTAAGCCTTCTGATTTCTATTACAGGCTCACATTCCTTTGCCATCAGTGCCGTCGATTGTCCAATTTACTTGAAGGTCCTTCCTTTGCACTCGTAAGCCAAACTAGCACTGTCGTCCGCACCACCACACTCTTCCTCTGTGTGCTACACGTTATTACTTCGTGCCAACGTGACAATACCCAGTACGTACTCCTTTGCCTTGAAATCACATGCGGTCTCCACTATCCATTGCAGTCTTAGCAATTACATAGCCCTTCTAAGCATCCGACTGTCAGTCGACGAATGTGCTCAACCTTTCCCAGCAGCCTCCCACCTGCTCCCTGAACAGCCCCGACTGCGCCGCCCCGGACTCGCTGGTTATAGCCGGAAAATCTATTTTAGCTCACTATGCGACGCGATGCATGTGCCCTTAAACATTCAGATTGCATTAGATATGAGTTCGTTAGCAAAGCGCCGAGAGCTGCTTAGCATAGACCCATAGCTCTCCGAGCGCAGACAACATTTCCAACACTAATATCCTGATGTAAGTAGTGTTAGTGCATGCTACAAATACAGTTTGTATGTTGTGCTATACCAACGATGTTAACAACAAATAATTTGTTGCTATCCACTAGCTTTCGACTTTGTACCACGCGGAAACTTTCCCTGATCGCATTGTGAGTTCAAAAACCCAGAAGAGCGTTACAAGAAGAACAGCTATGCTAATTTTAAACACAAAAACTGTGAAAAAGTGTTCTCAAACAGCTATGATCCTATCATTTAATAAAGAAAATCATTCAAACATACAAGCCGTCGGTGTTAGTTCAAACAGGCTATACAAATAGTATGAAGCTACTTTTGGATCAACACTGCTCAAGCAGTGCGATTCTTTAAAATCATCACAAAAGATTTAATCGATTTGAAAAGAAACACGAAGTTCGAAATACGCACCTAGATGACGATGCGATAGAGTCCTGTAATGTAATATTTTATTTTTTTAAAAGTCCAGACCGCAGTACTGAGACCACCTTGAGGGACGGAGCTCGGGTTAGTAAAAATGGAAAAGATTTGATAGTGGCCCGATTCGAATCATTTGGACAGGATAAGTTTTCGTAGATAGTAGTTAATAATAAATGTTAAGAAAAGTATTAGCTATCGTATTCATGAATCGTACGAACGATGTACACAAGCGACCGAAAGTATTTTGAATGAGACGCACTACGACCCTTACCTAAGTGCTCGCCCTGTTTGCGCGTTTTATCGCGCGCATTCTTAGCGAAGTTGTGGAGTTTTTTTAAGTGGTGTGCAGGAACCAGGAGCTTGATAATTAACGTCATTTTTAAAAAGTTTCAAGAAAGTCAGCTTTTGCAACAGGTGACTGCTGCCGTGAGTTTTAATGTATGAGAAAAGCGCTGGGACAACTATGATATTTTTTATAATTTTATTTCCAAGAGAATAGGAAATTGTAATTTCATGATAAACAGATGACAGTTGAAACGAGCCATTGCCCTTCCTTGTATGTAATCGATTGATACGATAGAGCATGAGCAGGCAAGAAGCGAGATGATTAAGATGGGAATAGGTAAGTATAGAAAGGAGTAGCAATGGTAAAATGAGCGTATGGTTATTGTAGATATAGGTAGTAATAGGGCTGATTAATTCGCTTGGACGCGAAGGGGTGGCATGCGGAGAGCCGATTGCGGCCGCCGAGGACCGGTGCGCGACAATTGTAGAGCCTGATGAAGGTGGCCCATGTCTGAGACGTTGGGCACGTAGATGAGTGAACTGAGGTGGAAGGTAGGGGCGGCAAGCATGCGAGATCAACGAGAGAAGCAGAGGACGTAGGGGCGGTCGGCAGCGGTAGCCCGGCCTTCCAAGCCAGATCGGCTGCGGCGGATTCGCCTACGGCGAGGATCGCGGAGGCCAAAGGGACACGACCGGGAGGCGCAGCCAGGAGTGAGTTTGTCTGAGGGCACCCCTCGCCGCCTCCGCGGCGGCCGAGTTAGAACTTGATTTTCGCCCGATGTAGGGAGGGAAGGACCGCATATCCGAGGGGCGCCACGCTTGCGATCTCCTGCAGCCAACGCAAAGCCCGCAGCGACGCCGCCTTTCCTCAGCGCACGCCCTCTCCTTGCAGCGCGCCTCCCACCCCCTGACCGCCCCCGATCCCCGCCCCCCGGCCCCCGGCCCGCCGTGCGCTCCTATGTCGTGACGATTACCGCACCTCGTGCGGCTCTCCGTGCGTCGCGTAAGCCATTAAACAATTGCGCCGCCCCCCCGAGCTGCGAAGGATTACGAACGAGTCATCTCCATCCCCAGCGTCAAGACAAGGGTCGCCTGCCTCTAACTGCTACTATGTCCCCTCCTCTCGTCGCCTACGTATCGCCCCGACACGCCCATATAGACATTACTAAGCCACAGTACCTTCTACGACCCCCCTGCTGGCTCCTCTGCGGACCATGCGGTTCAGTCAACTTGGCATTCACCCGTCGTACACATTGAGCTCCGAGAATTCAAGTACATAATCAGACTGGTTACATCAACGACTCCAGCAATATCATAGATGTGTAATTATGAGACTCTTACGTTTACTAATCAGTTTTAAAAATATTCACACAAGTCAAATGGGAGATTCTTCCTTTTCTAAAGTGTTGCTTACATTACCGTAATTATCTTAATTGAGCATTTAACTAAAAAAAATCTAAAGTTCCAAACTTCATCAGTACTATTAATATAACTTCGATTCAGCACCGCAACCTTCAAAGCAGTATATGCTCAGCCTTAGCTTATGTGAGCCGTCAACCGCGAGGTCTTCCTTTGAGATATCCTGTTCCTGTCCTCACCCTCTTTTAGTCTTTACTCTATCAACAGTACTTACATTCTACCAACACCTACACCTCACCATGACGGCAACACCGAGTATATGTGATATATACAAGCTTTAGCCCGCGTGCTGGAATAAGTGCCCCGCTGATCAAAGTCAGTACCTAATAGTGGGAACATCCGATCCACATTAGTACTCACTTCAGTCAGCAGGTCCGTCGCACGGATCTTGTCATAACCTAGCTGAGAGACAAGTCACACTGATCATGCCATCGTAGCAACAACACTGACCCTACATCTTAACGCCGATACTAAACTTTGAAATCCATCTACAATCCAGTACATCACTCGCCCTGATAAAGCGCACGAAATACATTAATCACCTAATCCTACTAAGTCCGCAGGATCAAAAATAGGCAGCAAAGACATTAAAAATATTAACTAAATTGCCACAGAATACAGCAGATTTCTCGTTTAAATTTTAAGTGTTACCTACATGTGGTTTCCTGTGAGAGACTCTTCGCACCTAGCTACGGAATTAAGTCGTTGCCCATCTTAATTGCTACATGTACCTCAAACCTCAATCCCCCCATACAAACGATTTTCTCAAAATGTATGTTGTGAAATTTTCTTCACGGCAGGGGAAGTACTACACTCGGCAGTACACAAAATAAATTTCTAATCACTGCTTAAGGAGGAACAATATCGGGAAGTCACGAAGAAACGCTGCTATAGAAGCAGCCAATTTTGTTCATTGGGGAAGAGATCCGGCCGATAAGTTACCTCTCCATTTCCTAAACTTAATCCAAATAAAAAACCCGCGCACAACGCCGCGTTTCTTATCAATTCAACACTCGAAATTACAGGAATATTTAAAACAAAAAATCTTTCTAGGCAAGGAAGAATTTTTCATCTGCTAGCTTTAAAACTACCTGGCAATTTTCAAAGGAAAGTAATCCCAATGCTCCTTGGAGAAAGTACATTTTCAAAATTGCTCCCAACTAAACACTTATTTTAGCCCCAAATTAACAGACCTTGATGAAACCACTAATTACATCACAGCATTTGAACCGCTAGTAAATGGATTACTGGAGAGAATGGTGGTTAATATTTTGATTTGCTTAAGACGAAGTGTTGACAAGAGGAGTAATACCGCCACCTTACGCATGAATCAATAGTACCCTGCGCTCGGAGGGTTTGATATACTTCATTAGTTACATTCACAATACCGTTGGAAGAAGATTCCAACATTGATGAAGTGACTAAAATGCCAAGCACGCACGCGCGCGCGTGTTGCGTAGTGGGGCTGTGTGTATGGAAATGAGCTGTGTATGGTCGGAGGCCTAAATCCTGAATAAGGAGAGTGGTGACAATTAAAAGGAGTTATGGATTCTAAACGGACAGTTAGCTCTTTTAAGACATTAAACTTGAAAGGAGAAGCAATACTGTTTTCTACAAACATCTTCAGAGATGGATTGGTTAGTGTTTCCATGTGTGTCCCCAATTACTAAGGTCAACTAGTCCCATAATTGTAGTGAATAATTTTTGCAGGAGGGTGGAATCATCCCCCGGGGGGTGGTGTTCGGGTTTTCTCTTGGGTTGGGGGCATGTATGGATAGTCGTAGCAGTCGCTGACATCGTTACTCCTCTACCTTGTCTCCACATCATTAGCAGCCCGCTTCACAACGTATAAATACAATTCATCGAACATAGTTAAAAACCATTTGAGCACTGACGCTATTATTTTAACGAACAGTCCTCCCATGTGCAACACAAAGTGCTGCTTCATACCAGGCAACAAATATGGCCTCACCAAGAGGAAGCACATTCGTACAAAATAGACAAATATGCATTAACATATTAATCTTCAAAGCATCATCTAAGTTGTCAACGAAGAGGTTTGCACATATCTATACACTGCCCAAGCAAACCGTACAACAAATGCTACGGAAATACATAGAAACCACTTCTCGGCGTACTAATGCACTATTAGTAACCCGGGAACAAAGAAGAGTAATCCATCCAGCCATTAATATAGCGCTACTTAGAACCCGTTAAATGAAGAACACGAATCCAAGTTCCCTAATAGTGTAACATTAGTGTCGTGTGAATGCATAGTTAATGGTTTTAAATAACACTATCGCACGTCGTACTTTATGTTTTACATTCATGCCCTCCCTTAAATAAAGCTTCTCCTGTGCAAAAGGTGAACATTCGTGCAATGATCTATATTTAGCGTGGAAATCAGTCAAAATCTTAAAGCTTTTACATGCACTCATTGATTCGATATTTGCAATATATTGTCATATGATTCTTAGCTCTTAAAAAGGTTGTGGAATCTGCTCCCTATTTATCGTTGCGTACCTCAGCAGACTATCCCGCAGCTTGCAAGCTCAGGACTGATGTGTTTCATACAGTCGGATATCACGCGAAACTCACAAGCTCACGAATATGGGTGATTATGAGACCTCACATGCTGTGTTATGTGAGTGTGTTAAAGATGAAAAAGGGCCAAGTTACTCTTTTATTGACTTGAGGAAGACTTGGTTAAATAAAATTTTTTTAAATTATGTACATGAGAGTTTTTAAAAAACCTAATAAAGGGCCAACATACGCACGCATCTGTCTTCTCTTCCCCTGTAACCATTTTCCGAACTCCTTACTTGCACCACCTTCACTTACTGACAAACTATCACACATGCGGGCAGACTGCGTTCAGAGCTTAGAGCTTGTTGTCAGGCTGGTGCGATGGCCCAAATGGTGGAGAGACGTGGGTGGGAAACCCCCGCAAGCGACAAGTAGGCCTGATTGCCGGATCTCGCCTTCCAGCGGGGGATGATCACCACCTCCTCCTGCCACAAAATATTCACGTAACACTTATGGACTAGTGACCTTAGAATTGACACACATGGAAACACTAACCCAATCAATCTCTAGAATGTTTGTAGAAAACAGATTGCTTGCTCCTTCAATTTTTAAATGCTTAAAAGAAGCTTACACATGTCCCCGTCTTAGAATCCATAACTCCCTTTTAATGTCACCAACATCACCTCCTATTCAGGATTCTAGCCTTACCCGGACACTACACAGCTCATGTCCATACACACACGCACACGCACACGCGCGCGCAGTGCTTCGTGCTTGGATTTTAGTCACTTCAATCAAGTGGATCCCTTCTTCCAACTGTTCATTGTGAATGCACTAATGAAGTATATCAAACCTTC